TGAAATTTCTATATTTGAATTTGATTTGAGTTCAAATATTTGATCAAATCAAATCAAATCAAATCAAATTGCGGAACTCTAGTTTTCATGGTCTCCAAGAAGATCGAGATTAAAGGAGAGTATGCTATCAATGGCTATCTTTTTTCTCAATTTGTTATGTATTTAATCTCAGTTACATTTGTTAACTAATAGTGCGTCATGTTTGTGTTTGTATTTTTCAATAACTATATTCATTAGAGTTGAGAACTCTTTTTGATGATCTGGTTGAGTATTTTTGTATTTAGAAAAGGATCTAAAAAAGGCTATGTCTCAAAATTTTAATTTATTTGCAATAGCATATAGTATATTAATTGAAGAGATTGTGGTTGTAATCTTGTATTCAATAAATTGGATGAATAGATCTGTGTTATTTAGAGCTATTAAGATTTTATCATTATTTTAGGTTTTGTGATCAAAGGCTTGTTGTTTCCTTTTTTCAAGCTTATTAGCTAGTTGGGGAAGCCAAAGGTTTTCCCATTTGGTTAATGAGAAATTTCTTTTATTTGTGACTGCTTGACTGTATGTGATCTTGTTTTTTTTTTTACCAACTATCGATTTGTTGCTGAGTCTATTCCCCTTCAGGTAGGGGAGCTAAATTGGTAGGTTCCAAATCTGCCTATGAGCCCATAGTTTGGGGGTTAATGATATTAGTTATTTGAGTGTCTTCATCAAGTATAGGGGCCATGAAAAAATTTCCATTAAGTCTATAAATCGGGTCCGTGGAAGTTTCACTGGGTCTATCCAAATTTGTTTGTTTGGGTGATGATATTAAGTCATGTGCTGGGTTTGTTTTGATTTGCTCTGGTGAAGAGAAGTTATTTGGTTGTTCTTTGTTGACAGTGTTAGAGACTGAGTTAGTGGTTGTTCTAAATTTAAAGCACTAATTTCATAGACAGCTTCTGTTTGATCTATCTCTTCCAAGGTAGATTCAATTGTATGGTCTGATAGTGGAGAGTTTATTGTTGTTATGTCAGTCTTAACACATTTGTTTAGGTATTGAATGGAAAAACAGGCTTACGAAGTCTTTCTGCCAAGATCTAGATAGAAAAAAATTAAGTTTTGGCTCTTGGGCAGGGCTGACAATATCTTCTATTCTATCTATAGTACAGTGTGACAGGTCACATCTAGGTACTCAGATGATGCCACATCTAATTATTTTAGTTTAGATATTTCACATATGTTTTGCATATGTAATAATTATCTTTTAATAAAGGTAGTGACAAGACTGTCAAGAGTTAAAAAAAAAAAAAAAAAAGTTTAAATTACAAAAATCAATTTATACTCAATTTTATAAGCAAGAATTTTTACTTTTGGTATTACTAACAGTATCAAAAACATTTAATAGATAATTTTTATATATCTTTGTGAGATTCTAATTTGATTTTTGTATAAAAATATATTTATTTCTATAAAAAACAAATGTAAAGTTAGTGTTTGTAGTCGATCCTTATTTATCAACTTGACTAAATTGATTTTTAAAATTTAGCTTAGCTAGCTAAGTTAGTGTTAATAAATATTTTTTATCTTCAGAATTTATTGGCAATTTTATTAAATTTTTGTTATAATCTTATGTTTGTTAATTTTTTTTTTTATATTTTCTCTGCTTTTACTCTTAGTACTATGTACTAAAAGAAGTAATATATCAAATCTAATTAGTATTTTAATATAATCTAATATAAAATTGACTAAATTAATTAGATCTTCTTTAGTATAGATAGGCAATATAAAAATATTATAAGATTATAATATAAAAAACTCTAACCCTAATTCTAACCTAACTATAAATTATACTCTAAATCTTACTCTAATTCTAACTAATCTCAAATTTGCTTAGATTAGTTTAAATAGATATTTTTATATATTATAATTTTATATTATTTATATATTGTCTATCTATACTAAAGATCAACCAATTAATTTTTTAAAAAATTGGCTAACTAAGCCAGTTAAGTTGATAAAAATAGACTATATAAAATTAACTATAAACACTATAAAATAAATAATTTTGCTAATTTTATATAAAAAAAAATTTATTATATAATATAGATTAGGCTATACAAATTTAATTACTTGGTTTTCATAACATAAAACTTTTAAATAGACTTAGCTAGCTGGCTTTTTTTTTTTAAATTCATATATAAAATTTTATAAAATTTATATAAAAATTTTTTTTAAAACCTACCTGGTTATTAAAACCTATAAAAAATTTTTTTTAAAGTTTTCAAATTTTAATCTGGCCAGATTATAAAAACCAATTAATTAATTTTGCATGGCTTTATTTTAAATCTATATATACTATATATTAAAAATTTTGAGTGTAATGATAATACTTGCATAGTGTAACCTTTTATTATATCTTATCTATTAAATATTTTTATATTTACTACTTATTTAATATAGATAATATTTTTATATATTATTGCATAGGTTTTTAGCTAGTTCTATATTAAAATTACTTCTTATAATAATTCTGTAATAAATTATATAACTATTAAGTTTAGACTACAAATAAATCTTCAAGTATATCTAACTTAGGCTCTTAAATATATATCTAAGTTTTTATTTTTAGTAATAAACTTAAATATAAAATCTTTTCCAATATTGTATATGTAAAATATTGTATATATAAAATATTGTATATATAAAATATTGTATTTATAAAATATTGTATATATAAAATATTGTATATATAAAATATTTTATATATACAATATTTTATATATAAAATATTGTATATGGGGGTGAGTCAGTAGAAAAGAGACAAATTTTTTCCAAGTAAAAGTTTTCTTAACTTTAAGCTTAAATATCTCAACAACTATTTTATTAAATTTAATAAATTTTTTTTTATTTTAATTTTATATAATTTC